TAATAGGTGTGCTTTGAAAACCAGTAGCTATCAGCATTATCCAGTGCAGGAGAAAACTATAGATCAGATAATGTTGGCCTTGTGCCAACAACAATAATGGGGATGATTAGAAAACAGACTTCTTTCCTCTTCTTCCTCCTCTTCTTCCTTCTCCCTCTTTTTTTTTTTTCTGTTCAAGACAGGGTTTCCTCTGTGTAACAGCTCTGATTGTCCTGGAATTCACTAGGTAGGTCAGGCCTTGAACTCACAGAGATCCAACTGCCTCTGACTAATTTGCTGGAAATAAAGGCACGCTTTGCTCTATCCAGCCCTACTTTCATTTTATTCAAAGCTAAAAATATTAAGTGTATAGGCACTCTTTAGTCTTTGCCTTCTCTTCCTATTTCCTTCTCTTCCTTCTCATGAAGAGGAATATTCACCCCTCTCACGTGAAAGTTCTAATAAAATTTAGGCAACAAAGGATAAACTGACACTGAGAATTTCCTATTCCATCTTTAAAACCTTAGAGCTAAGAATGTACTGTGTGGCAAGCGTCTTGAACTAACTGACGCTTGAACTAACCAGCCCTCCTCTGGTGATCCACGATCTGCAGAGCTCAAGGACTCTTGCATACAGTATGTATTTCCATGTATCCTCCACACACCCTTTGTATACTGTAAATTATCTCTATATTCCTCTAATCCTTGTAACGAAGTAAATGCTATATAAGTAGTTTTTATTAGTGTATTGTTTGAGATAATATGAAAAATAATCTTGTTCATGTTAGTGCAGATGCAATTTCTTTTCTTTGAACATGTTTGTCCCTGCTTCCCAAGGCTATTCACTCATGGGTAGACTACATTTTATCCAAGCACTGAAGATTTTAGCAAAATGGTAAGTTAATAGTTAGGATGACCACACTAATAAAGAAACAAGACATTTCCCTGTACCTAAGAAAACAATATAGATTTTACATAGCCCTAAGCAACAGTTCTCTATTGCTTGGGAGTCCTCAAATAAAACCTCAAACAAAAACCGAAGTGGGAGATAAGTATGGTACAATAGTATTCAAGTATCAGATGATTATACAGGTTTCAACAGTCCTTCAAAAGCTCTGAGATTATAACCATATTGTCGTTCGCTTATTGTTAAACAAATTAGAATCTCCTTCCTAAAGACTGACATAATTGTTAGCAAAACCAAACATGAAGATAATTAACAAGGGAATATCACATTCACCACAGATACCTAGATAGAACTATAATTTTATAATGTCAATTATAACAATTTAATATAATCAATCATAACTTTAAGGTTTATTCTGCAAATTGAAGGGTTAAGTAAAATTGGATTGCCAACAAATTCAACAATTTCAAATCATAGCAAGTATACTTAACTCTTTTTTTGAAACTGGAACTGCAGATATTGACTTGATCAAGCTTTCTGGTGGAAGAGCCAATACTCTGGAAAGCTAAAAGTGAAAAAGAACAAAAGAGGATAAAATTCCTGCTGTATCTATTCCAGAGTGAATGGACAACTGCTAGCGGTAAAAGAAATGTCATTAACACAGTGAACATAAGTGAACCTCAAATACATGATGTGACACCTACATTGAAGGTATATAGTATGATTCAATTTATCTGATAGCCTCGGAAACACAAAACTATCAGAGTGAAGTTAAGATTTCTGAGTGTCAGGAGTTGAGGAAAACATAAGGGTTTGACTATTAAGTAGCAAGCAGGACTACTTGTCTTTCAATAAATTTATGTTTGCCAGTTTAAAAAAAATCTAAAGAAATATACAAAAAAGATAGGAATCACTGAGAATCCAAAACTATTTTCCATTAAAATATTTATTGAGTAACTAATGTGTACCAGACAGTATTCTAGGTGTTGATACTATAACAATGAACGAAAGAGAAAAAAAAAACTATAGCACTTAATAGAAACAAGTAAATATTTGGGAAAAATCTGATCCCCATATCTGAACCCCACAAAAGATTTACCCACCAGAATATCAGGCATAAAGAAACAAAACAAAACAAAAAAAAAAACAAAAATCAAAGCAAAGAAGCAAAGGCCATGGGCTAACTCAGCGGTGAAGCACCAGCTACTTGCCCTGTTTGATATGCATGAAGCCCAGGATTGCTCCTTAGCACACAAATAGTAAGTAGAAACAGGTGCATCTTTGTTCGTAAGAAACTTCTTTCATGGTTATGCTGTTTGGTGGTATAGGCATTTCCATGTTCAGAATAATACTGTGACAGGCACATAGGACTTGGTTATTCCTAGGGTGTGTGGCGTACAAGAGGGGAAGAACTTTGCCAAGCAGAGACCGTGACAGAAAACCACAACCGGTCAAAATCAGCTGTGGAGACAAGCCTCCTTACTTCGGTGCAAGCAATCTGTTTGAGAGATGACTTCTGGGAACTGGATGTTGCACCGAGAAGAGCGAGGAAGGAGAAGAGTTTACAGAAGATTGTACCAACAGGGCTGGGACGAGGCTCGACTAGCAAAGCACTTGTCCTGAACGCCCAAGGAGCTGAGCTTGGAACCCTAACTTAACCCTTGTAAGAGCTGAGCCTGGTAACACAGACCTGTAACTTCCAGGGCTGGTGATGCAGAGGGATGAGGTATTAGGGATGAGGAAGAAAAGGGCCTAAAGCTGGGTATGAAATAACCAAGCAAATCAAATAAGGAGGACAAGGGGAGGGGAAATATGACAAAAATACATGGCATTTTTTTTTGCATAAAAAAGGAGGATAGGGCTATGGGCTAGTATCAGCAAGCCCGCTGGTTTTCTTGAGGAACATATGTAAGACATTGCTGCCCATGCATAGGAACTAAATTGTAAATAAGGATTGTACTTATTTTAGGAAGGAGACCACTCCGGACTGCCCCACAGACAAGTAGTTCTGGTACAGGTAACCAAGAAAAACTGCAGCTACACCTTGGCAATGTTAAGGAGAATTCCCAAAAAGAAGCTGTGTCTGCAGTAGCTAAGTGATGAAATCTTCACTGGTTGTACAGAGTTTGGAATGTTACACATCCGAAGCCTAATCGCAATTCCACTTGGCCACTCTGGAGTTGTCTGGAGACAACTACCTAGACCTAACGTCCTGACAAACGGATAAAAACCTTCTAGGGTGCATTAACTTAACAAAACCCTAGCTCCCACCCAGTGAAGGGCTCAGAGTGCTGTCCCACAGCATCCAAGGTCTACAGAAGCGTTAACCCCATCTTGTAACTTACCTCACCAATGGTTCCACCAATATATTTCTTAAACGCTTTGATTTATAACATTCTTTTTTGTTATTATAAAAACTCCATTAAACTGCTTCCATACTGGAACTATGGAAATTGGTGTACCATAAATCCATGTTCCTAGGCCACGGTTACTAAAACTTGGCTCCAGGATTAACTATCTCTTATCCCTGTACAGTTGAGAGCTGTAGATTAGCGACAACAGTAGTTAGGATAGGTGTTAACTTCCTGCCATGGTAAAACTAAAAACTGGTCACATAAAGACGAGAAGAAAGCAGAGTCTAACTCAGGGCTTACAGTTCCTGCCAAGCACTTAGAACAGCAACACCTGCAAGGCACACTGATTAGCAATGCCGTCCTGGGATAGAGGACAGCAGAAAGCCATGGACAACAGCTGGAAAGGCAAGTCAAAGACGGAGAAAGGGGCCTTCAAAGTATGACCACTTCCCTAATTGAGCAAGTAGTACCAGCCTGTGATAATCTCCCTGGTGGGCCAGAGGGACATGCACAGTCATTGGAGAAATCCTGCTAAAACCTACCCCACCCCCAGCAGTCCCATGAATAGACCCAGACTCCCCAACCCTAGACTTCTCTTCCCTCCCCTTTCGGAGGCAGAAGCCTGCCTCAGTCAAAAGCATTGTTTCATTCTCTCTGTCTCCCGTTTTTCTTGTATTTTGGTCTGTTGTCTTCCCCAGACAGTCAATTCTTTGCCCGTTCCAGACAATGAATTCAGCTCACGCCAGAATCAGCATTACACCTGGAGCTCCCTGGTTAGCCAGCCTAGCCTAGCAGAATGGGTAAACCCCAGGTTCAGCTTAAAACAAAACAAAACAAAACAAAACAAAACAAAACAAAACCCTGTCTCAGGAAACGAGGTGGATGGTGACTAAGACAAACACACCCGTCCTCTGCCCTCTCCACCTGAAGGAACACACAAACAAATACAGACAGACACACAGATTGGACATTAAAGTCATTCATATAATTGGGAGCTTAATGCCTAAGAAGCACATGCAACATCCCCAGAATCGTCTAAAACAAGTCAGTCACACTGAGCCTAAGTTTGTGCAGCCCTCAGGCAGGTTGGGCTTCAGTGAACAAATGAGGGGTACAAGTCCTTAGCCACGCAGGTTTTTCTACACAGGCTCTGGGAATTCGAACTCTGGCACTTTTAGCCAAGGAGCCATCACAGCCCCTTAGCACGAATTTCTTGTTTGTTTGTTTTGTTCTTCGAGGCAGGGTAACTCTGTGTAACAGCCCTAGCTGTCCTGGAACTAGCTCTTGCAGCCCAGGCTGGCCTCGAACTCACAGAGACCCTACTGTCTCTGCCTCTGGAGTGCTGGGATTAAAGTTGTGTGTCTATATGCCTGGCCCTTAGCATGGTTTATAATTCATCTACTTTATTCAACGCTCTAAAATACTTTATTTAGAAACAAAATAAAATACAGGGTTACTCGATGAAAGTAAATAATGACTACAAACGAGGGAGGACTAGTAATTTCTACAGGGTCTAATCGCGACCCACAGACACTCCTCCCGGGTTAAAGCACGACGGGCGGGATTGCCAAACCGGGGAAGCGCCCAGTGCTTTCGCGGGTCGTCCCCCTCCGCTGCTCGGGGAGAAAGCAGAGCGGGCCTAGGCTGCACCCCGCGGCCCTGGCGCCCGCGGGCTCGCCACTCGCGACAGTACCTGACAGGCGATCGACCTACGAAAGGCGCACGCCATGCCGACCCGAAGCCCGCCTCCGCACGCCCCGCCTCCGCGCCGGAAGTCACCACTGCTTCCGCAGGGGCGCGCGGAAGTATTCAGTGCGCAGGCACACGGAGCCGTGGATTATGGCCACTTCCTCGGTGTCCAAGGTACGTGGGGGTGGCGCTTGCCGGTGCATCCGCGGTGCCTCTCTGGCAAGCACGGCGAGGCGGAGGTTTGACGGGCGTTGGCTCCGGCTCCGGGAAGATCGGAACACAGGCGGCTTTGCCCAGGTCCGGGTTCGAGGCCACCTTTGCTTCGGCCAACTAGGCCGTGGCGCCTAGGCTAGCCGACCGGCTTCCCCAAGAATATGTCGCTTTCCCACCTTGCTTCCTGCTTTTTTTCCTCAGAAGCACTTCCTGTGCGTTTAACTACCGAAATAAAGACGTAAACAGAATACCTTTCTGTAATCAGAAATATTAATAAGGAGCATATCTTCGTATTAATAAAGGGAAAGGTTCTGAGAGAAGAGGGACGAACCAAGATTGCCAGGAGACCAGCGAAGCTTTAGAGAAAGTGACAGTTTGGCTAAGATTGAAAAATAAGAATCTTGGCGGGAATGTAAAGCCCTAGGGTGGGAGAGCAGAATGGCATGCCCTTTGCCTTAGAATGTCGAAATAAAATCGCACATAGAAAAATAAGGGTACCCGAAAGTGGAGAAAGGGACATTAGGGAAAAAACAAACAAAAAACGAGAACAAAAATTGTAATTCAGGAGTCTGGCGGTGGTGGCTCACGCCTTTAATCCTTTTCTGAGTTCGAGGGCTACCGAATGAATTACAGGACAGGCTCCAAAGCTACACTGAGAAACCCTGTCTCGAACACCCCCCTCCCCAAAATGTAATTCAAAAGAGTGTTCGTGTTGTGGTGTCATGGACTGCCTAGACGGCAGGAGTGCAAATCAAAATATAGTTTATAAGAGGGGGCCCCCAGCAGCCTGTTACTTATTTGGATTAAGATAATTTAAAATTAAGTTTGCCATTAGCCCCTATCACATTTCAATAGCACATTTATGTGAAAGCAAGTTCAACTATGCCGTGTAAAGTACATGTTTTAAGTACAGAGGGATGCTCCTGAGTGCCACTGTCTGATAACGATGAAAGTACAAAGTTCTGAAAGGGTTTGTGTTCGGAGTTCAGGGGTGGTACTATGCGGGATTGCCCTTCTTATGAGAGATTTATTAAATGTGATGTTAACCCCACAAACAGGCAGACAGCATGACAGAGGCTGCAAGGAGAGTTCTGGCCCACGTGGCAGAGGAAGTCCCGTCAAAGTTTTCACAGGATGAGGGTTCTGAAGGAGATTGAAATGTTTTCTGTGTTGACCCACAGTTCATGGTTGCTCGAGGTAACCAGTGTATGCTCAGTTCATGAATTTTAGGAGATAAACACCTTCCCTAGTTGGGCATTTCCGAGGGTGTGAAACAGGGAAGAAAAGAATATAGAAATAAATTACCTTTTTGTTTTGAGACAGGGTTTCTCTGTGTAGTTCTGGCTGTCCTAGAATTCACTCTGTAGACCAGGATGGCCTAGAATTTACAGAGATCCACCTGCCACCGCCACCCAAGTGCTGGGATTAAAGGCCTGCGCCACCACCACCTGGCTAAGAAACAAGTTTCTTTAGTTCAAGAAACCAAATTATAGTTACAGAAATTGTCACAGTTCAACCAAAATGGAGAGACTTTACAAGTATTCCTAACACTGTCTATATCCCCCAAGTGCTGGGATTAAAGATGTGCACCACCATACCCTGTCCCTAATATAAGGTTTTTAAAGAGCTGACTGGATGTTGCTAGAAAAACAGATTTTTTTTAACTGCACTAGTGTTTTTATTATGGTTATTCCTATTTTTATTTGTCCTTGGCTACAGCATTCTAGGTATTTTAGGTACCCTATCTCCTAATCATGTTGTTGCATAAAACTTCGTTTCTTTTTCTTTCCTAGTTCTGGATATAACTGTAGTTTGTGCATGCTGAGCAAGTGCTCCATTACTGAGCTGAATCCCCAGCCTTAGCTTATTCTAAAATTTACAGAAAATGAGAATTTTTTTTTTCTAGAAAAGCCTTCCTTTCTTGCTTGCTTGCTTGCTTTCTTGCTCTTTTTTTCTTTTTTCTTTTTCTTTCGCCTTCCACCACAAATAGATCTGTTGGCAGGCTGGAGAGATGGCTAAGAGGTCAAGAGCTTTGGCAGCTCTTCCAAAGACCCTTTCCATTTCCAGCAGACACATGGTGACTGACCACCATCTCTAATGGGATCTGATGCCCTCTTCTGGCGAGCAGGTGTACAGGCGCATACATGCAGATAAATCTTCATATAACTAAAATAAATAAATCTCAAAAAATTATTAAATTAAAGAAGTAGCTATGTTGATGAATGATTATGAAGTAGACCTTATATAAATATGAACTTTTCAGGACCATTTCAGTAACTCATGGAAATGCCAAAGTTTTAATTTATTTTTCTCCTTAAACATATCAGGTGTTGTTATTTTTCTTATATAAATATTTTTTGGTCTGTCTTGTTTTATTGTTTTTCAAGACAGGGTTTCTCATATAACAGTTCTGGCTGTCCTGGAACTCGCTCTGTAGACCTCCCACTCACAGAGATCCTCCTGCCTCTGCCTCCAGAGAGCTGGAATTAAAAGTGTGCGCCACAACTACCATATCTTTTGGCTGATGGCCTTCTAGTCTAACATGGTTAACCATATTACTGTTGACATGTTTATATTAGTACTCATTGCTTGTATTCCTGTCCTTGTGCTAATGTTCATGAGATTAACACCCATCCTAGAACTCCATGTTCTGCTGTGTCAGCACTACCCTTACTGATGTGCAGGTCTGTATGGAAAGGTGTAGTAATAGCTTGTGATGGTACAAGGTACTTCTCCAAAATATGTAGAAGTAATTCACATAGCTTTGCTAGTTGCAAATGTAAGACTACAAGGTACAACTTAATTTGGAACATGTAATCCACATGGCCACTTTATATTTTGCACAGGTGTCTGACACTAGTCTGAGATGACCTTTTTGTCATTTTAGTTCTTTTAGCTCATTTTCCATATAAACAGAAATCTTAGGAAGCTATCCATGAAAATACAGCTTTCATTTTGGTAGAATACACCACAACTAGAAACTTAGACGCCAAGTAGCAATAGTCAAATATAATAATAAGAAGCTTAATGTGGCTAGAAAATTACCAGGAGAATTAGACAGCCAGTATTTATTCATTCTGTATACCAATGGTCTAATGTGTTTATTAGTACTGCCATAAACATTGAGGAAGTGGTTATAAATAAAATCTATCTATACTGGAAATATGCTCAAAATTTATCAGGGAGACAAAGCAAATATGTTTGAATCCTGAGATCTCGGGAGAAGCATTTCTTGCGAGAGAATCCAGGAGGGTTCCCCACAAGAGATGAGGGTTTGATTTCATTTGGTTGCATAGCTAGACTGGCCACAAACTCATGTAAGGGAAGAGTGAACTCTTGGTTCTTCTGTCTCCACAAGCACTAAGATTACAAGTGTGTAAACCATGCCCCACTTTTTCTCTTTTTTGAAAAATGTTTTATTGTTTGGGCCTGGAGTTCACTTTATAAACCAGGCTAGCCTCAGTCACAGCAGTTCTCTGGCCTCAATTTCCTAGTGCAGGATTACCAGAGATGAACGATGAGTTTGGAGCCAGTGGATAAATGGAAAGGAGTTTATTCATTGAAAAACGATGCTGGGTGAAACGAGCCAAAATCTTACAGGCTGTCCTTGAATACAGAGAGATGCCTGTCTGTGCCTCCGGAATGCTGGGATTAAAGGTGTGTGCCATCACTGCCTGGCACTTAATCTTTATTTTAATGTATAATTTAATGTTATTTCCCACCTAAGTTTTATGAAACTTGAACTAAAAAAGTTTGTCTACTTGTTAGAGCAGGTCCTGAAGCGTGTGAGAGCAGCTGATGGGACCGAGGAGAAAGACATGCACAGTTGTTGAAGACGTCTTTCCTTCTGTATTTCTAAGAAAACTGTTATTAGACCCTGAAAGAAACTCCCTTTTTAAAGAACTTGTTTATTTACAAAGTGTTCGGGTAATTAGATTTGTCTGCTTTGCCTAATTTGACTTTATGCTTTATTTCTTCCTTTCTTCTTTTTTTTTTAAAATAGGGCTGTTTTGTATTTAAACCAGACTTCAAGAAGAGAAAGATCTCTGTGCCAATCGGTAAAGTATCTTAACATATCCATTTTGTTGATTTTTGTTCCCCTAAATCTTAAAGTGTGGTTATAAGCAAACCTTCTTAATGTTGGAGGTAATTCAACTTACCAGAAATAATTTTTAAAAAATTAAGGATTTATTCCTTCATTTATTTATTCATGTATATTTGAGGCATATATTACACATGTGAAGTCACCAGCAATGTAATTATAACAAATTTGGTAATATTATAAAGCATTTTTTATGTGCTGGACTGTTCTAAACATTTGTGTTGGTTAAATCCTCTCAACACCCACATGACATCTAACAACCATCTGTTGTTAGCTCTAGTCAAAGGGATTCAACACCCTCTTCTGTCTTTCTTAGCAATGCACATACCTTTTAACAAAAAAGAAAAAAGTACATATTAAACCAAAGATTGGACTAAACTTTGTCAATGGAACAAAAACAATCTGAAAAATTGTTGAGTAGAGAAGAGTTGAAAGTAATCATAAGGTAAAGAAGATAAGAATGTGGATGCCAACATTAATGTTGTATGTATATACCTTGAACTGAAAATCCTTAAGTAGAAGCTTAGAGATTTGTAAGGAATAGAACTTTGCAATTTTAAAGATCCTTTTTAATATTATAAAAATGAGACATAAAATTAAATATGAAAGATAAAATACATCATTTTTCTCCAAATGTATAGAAAAAATACTTGATTTTTTTTATTTGTATAAAATGCTTTGATACCCCTTTCTATGTTGTGTTTCTGTACACAGTTTCTTAATTTTATTGTGTTAAGAAGCAAACTGAATTTCTGTTGTTTTTTTTTTAAGAAGATTATTTTAATAATGAGAAATTTGAGTCTGAGGATAGTAAACTTCGATTTGAAACGTATCACTTGCTATGGCAACGGATGAAATCTGAAACAGAGGTGAATAATTTCCTTTTTACATTTCTGTAATAAAATACTGTAAATCTTGTATTTGTTACTTCCCATATTTCTAAGATTTATTAGATTATGCATAGAAAACGAGAAGTTACAACCAAATACAACTTTTATATCTCAAAGAAAATAATTTGTCATGTTTTAAATATTAAGCATAGCCTGAGTTACTGGGACATGATAGTTGCTAAGACAGAACTTTACTGTGATGACTCTCACTCTTAAATTCAGTTAAGACGTTCCACAGATCTGAAAGGAAGTGATCTAACTTGGTCTGACATTCAGTTTTCGCTGTGTTCTGTTTGTTTTGGTTTCCCCTTGAGGCTAACCTAGAACACGACATGCTCTGCCTGTGAGTACCTCCAGTACAGCAAGTCCGTAGCTCCAGTGCCAACGGCTTATTCTGCCCAACTAATGTTAAGCATTAACATTAGCACTGGTTAGGCGTAACTAGTGTTTTGGTTTTGAATGAGAGTTCCACAGAGCTTTTGAGTGGGTGCTGGGAATTCTGAGGACCTTAAACTTGTACAGTCTGCATTCTTACCCACCAAGCCATCTTTCCAGCCGACCTACTTCCTAGTTTCTTACTGTTTCCCATCTATCTTTATTACTTTATACTTCACTTTGCTCATTGATGTTTTCCATGTAGTCCTTGAAGATACTTGGGTTTATGGTCTCCAGGTTAGACTATCTTCTAGTTTTCTTTTCCTAAGATTTATTTTACTTGTTGTTATCTTGTGTATGGGTGGGTGCACATTAGTGCAGGTGCCTCAGAGGCCAGGAGAAGGGCACTGGATTCATTGGAGTAAGAGTTAGAGTTAACATCAAGTCTTCCACTGGGAACTGAGCTGCAGTCCTCAGCCTGAGCACTATGCTCTTTTAACTGCTAAACTATCTCACAAGCCCCTGTCTGTCTTCATCTCTTAATTTCCCTATAGCGTGTGTTCTGACATCATATTCTTCTAATCTGCCACTAGCTCATTCCCCTGTTTCAGGCAAATGCAGCTGTATCCCAGACTTTGGGGTGTGTTTTATATAGCCCCCTTACCAGTTCTGCCTTCTTTACCCTCTGACCTTCACAGTGGTGCCAAATTAGCCTTTCACTCCTTATAACTGTTTGGGTGTCCTCCTTACAGCATAAAGTTCAAAGGCTTTAAAACCATGGTGTTTGTTTCACAATTGGGACTTTTTCCTGTTTGTGCAGCCTCTGCTCCTCTCGTGTGGAGTCTTTCACACTCAGCTGTGTAGTGTTATCCACTATTTCGTGCTTTCTTTCTTTATTTCTACAGCTTGTCCTTCCACCTTACTTTTGCTTCCTGTCACCCTCTGTTTCACCAAGTAGTGCTTTGATTCAAATAAATTACCTCTTCAGCCTACAGTAGATGGTTCCAGTTTCTCCCAGACTTCATCCTGCACCCCTCAGCCCTAGCAGAACTATTGAAAATGTTGTGTGTATCAGAATGCAGTGGGCAGTGATGGTACATGTGTTTACTTGGGAGGCAGAAGCAGGCAGATGTTTTGAGTTCCAGGCCAACCTGGTTTAAAAAGCAAGTTCCAGCACAGCCAGAGCTATTACACAAAGAAATCCTATTTCAGAAAACAGAACAAACAGAATTCAGTTTAAGGTTCAGCCATCTTGCCCTTCTGTTCTTCCCTCCCAATTCACTGTGTACTCCTCATTGTGTGTTTATATATTTGTGTGTGTCCCTCTTCTGTTTTCTCTCAGTACTCTGTGTCTGAAGATATTTGTGTGGAGTTTTTTCCTTCTTTTATTGCCTTTCAATACATTGTGTGTTGACATATTTGTGGGGCTCTTTTACCCTGTTAATTTATTGCCACTGAACTAAAATTACTGAACATTCAAAGAGAAGAAAAAAATTGAAATTTTCTTGCACCAGATGTGATGGTTTGAAGGAAAATGGCCCCCGAAAGGAGTGGCACTATTGTGAGGTGTGTGGCTCTATTGGAGTAGGTATGACCTTGTTGGAGGAAGTGTGTAACATGAATGGGCCAGCTTGTTGGGGTTTCTGTCCTGCCCGGCCCCCCAGCTGTTTAGTCCCAGAGAAAATTCACACAAGGGACTCCGTAAGTTATAAAGCTGATTGGCCCGTTAGGTCAGGCTTCTTACTAACTAACTCTCACATCTTGATTAACCCATTTTTCTGATCTATTTTAGCCATGTGGCTCAGTACCTTTTTCAGTGGGGCAGCTGACATCCTGCGGCTTCGGTGATCTGGGCAGGAGTGTCACTGTGAAAGCAGGAATTGAGAACTCATGTATTCCCAAGCCATGCCCAATTCCTGTTGCCTTCACACCACCATTTAACACCATGATGATAGTAGATTAAACCTCTGAAAATGTAAGCCAGCCCCAATTAAATGATTTCAGTTATAAGAGTTGCCATGGTCATGGTGTCTCTTCACAGCAATAGGACCCTAAATAGGTGAGGGAAAGAAATCCAGATTACTACTATTAATAATTCATGAAATTTTGTTTTCATTGCAGCAATTACAGGAGGAATTAAATAAAAACCTGTTTGATAACCTAATTGAATTTCTGCACAAGTCCCATTCTGATTTCCAGAAAAATTCAAGAAACTGGGGCTGTCAAATGAAACTCAGAGAAATTCCAACCGCTGCTCTTACTCTTGGTATGTACACATGTGTTTATTCTTGCATGCCTGTGCATATTTTTTAATTGGTGCTTAATGAACTATCATCTCCTGTAATCAAGAGATGTCTCTTGTTCAAATAAAATTTTATCAATTTTGATGGTGTCCATAGCTTTTCTTCTCCTGAGGAAACAAAAGCAGAGCCCCTTCCCCAAAGTAACACATGTCCTGGTTTCAATTTTGAGATTAGTACACCTTTAAAATATATCGGCTGATTTATTTCTATAGTTTTTTCTTCTACTATCCAATGTCTTTCTGCAGCTTTTGTTTCTTTATCATTAGCATTTAGAAAATTCAAAATTAATAAAGCATTATGCAATCTATTTCTGGGGGTATTTATCATCCCTTTCTGTTTATTTAACATAGCCTTTAGATTTTTATTTGATCTTTTTATAACTGCCTGCCCTGTAGGATTGTGTGGTGTACCTGTAATATGCTTTATATTATAATAAGCAACAAACTTTCATTTTCTTAGAGATAGATGCCAGAGTATTGACTGTCTTTATTTGTACAGGTATACCTGTAATGGCCATAACTTCTGGTAAATGTGTGATTACCGGAATCAGCCTTTTCCAAACTCAAAGCAGTTGCCCATTTAAAACCTGAATAGGTATTAATAGTGTGGTATACATACTTTAGTTTTCCAAATTCTACAAAATGGAACACATCCAACTGCCAGCTTTCATTCCTTTGAGTACCCTTTGGGTTATTTCCTGCAGATGGTGGTATTTGGTTGTATAAAGAACAAGTAGAACATTTCTTTATAATTTCCTTGGTTTGTTGCCACCTGATGGAAAAGTCTTTTTTAAACCTTTGCTATTCACATAATTTTTTTTTATGAAATTCTGAGACCTTCAGCACATTTCCAATCAATAGTTGGTCGATTTCTGCATTACTTTGTGTTACATGTGGATCAGATGTGTGATGTATATGATTCCTATTCCTGATTATATCTGATAACTGAATAATTAATAAAGTCATTCCTGTGTCATCTGTTATGAATCCATCAGTTTCAATATGTGAAACAACTTTCTGCGTATTGTGAATCGGTAACTGTGCTGAGAGGTCCTTTAGATCCCTTAGCACCATGGGAATAGAATATAGTTTTGACTTTTAGACAAAATCATGAAGGCTTTGATCCACTTTACTTAAATTTTCTGATTTTTTTTATCCTGCCTTCCGTGACTTATTTGCATCAGCATAGAATGTAGGGCTCCAGTTATTGCTGTTAGTCCTCTTTCTTTCTTTCTTTCTTTTTTTTTTTTTTGAGGAAGAAGAAGAGAGGAGAAGGAGGAAACAATTAGTCCTCTCTATAAGCTGGAAAATTGGATTCTCTTGCTTTTGGGATAGTTGTTAATCTCTCCCCCCAAAAAATTAGTACATGCTCTTTGCCAGAGTTTATTTTCTTCCCATAGTTTATCAATTTCCTCATTATTAGAAAGTACTATAATTTCTGCTGGGTCTATTCCTGATAATTGACAAAGTCTCAATTTTCTTTTTAGAATTAACTCAGAGACCTTTTCCGCATAAGATTTTTATTTTTTTAAACTTAGTTTCTGTAGATAAAGATAGTATCTTCTCTCTCCACTAAAATTTCTGTAGGGGAATGTTTGAAGGGTACTTTGACCAAAATGCAGTTATGATTCGAATCCACATGATCCACAGGTGCCTTCTATAATTTCTTTGCAATCAAAGCCAGTTCTTGCTCAGGTTCACCTGATAATTCCCTGGGACACTTTAAGACCTTGTCACCATCTAAGGTTTTATTTAAATTAATCAGGTCATCAGGACCTATCCCCATGTTGCACTGTAGATGGGAAATGCCTCCAAACAATCTTTGGAAGTCATTAAGAGTCTCCGAGAGATCTCTCCTAGCCAGAGCTGTGGTTGTGCACGCCTCTAATCCCAGCACTCAGGAGGCTCAGGCAGGTGGATCTCTGTGAGCTAGTTCCAGGACAGGCTCCAAAGCTACAATTTTATAATCTAAATAATGTATAGAATCTCCTCTTTTTATTTTTTTGCAGAAGCAATTTGTAATATCCAACAAGGCAAAATTTTCTTTACTTCTTCAAACACTCTGCAGAATCTACATTGATACATCAGACAGTAAAATGCCATCCTTGTAATGATAAACTATAGATTGAGGAAATTGCTTGCGTATCATTTCCAGTGGCAGACTTACAAAATATGGGTATAAGGTGGGGCTATTTAACATTCCCTGTGAGAACTTTCCATTGATTTCTCTTAGCAGGCTGAGAATTATTTTGAGTAGGCACCGTGAAGGCAGAGTTTTCTCGTTTTCTTATAAAGGTTTAGAGAAGAAACAATTTTTTAAAACAGTAAGTATAAGAGGCCACCCTTTATATCTATAGATAAGGTGAAGGAACGCCAGACTGGAGAGATCCCATTGGCTGAATCACCTTATTAACAGCTCTTAGATCTGCTACCATTCTCCATTTTCCAGATTTCTTTTTAGCAGCAAGTATAGGAGAATTCTAAGGACTGGTTGATTCTTCAGTATGTTGAACTTGCTCTTGTACCAGCTGTTCTAAAGCCTGCAGTTTCTCTATTGTTAAAGACCATTGTTTAACCCATACAGGTTTGTCAGTCAACCATTTTAAAGGTAGGACTCTTGGTGCCTTTGAAATGTCAGCAGCTGTTGTGCTCTCTTCTTGTACAACCTGAGTGGTCAGTGACTGTTCTTTATAATATCTTGTAATATTTTTCCCCAGAAACATATGTTAATTTGTTTGTTTCTTAGATTAGGGAATGCTAATCTGAGTATTCCATTGCTGTAACAAATCACGTCCCACAAATTCATTGATATGTTAGCCACATACAGTTTTAATATTCATCTCTGTCCTTCTGGCTTTATTCATCCGACCCGTCTTGTGCTCTGCTTTACCTGAGATAAAGTTCCAATCCCTAAAAACTGAACATTTACGTCCTGAAGAGGTCATTTTGTACGCCAAGATTCTGATGAAATTATTGTTACATTGTCTACTAGACCTTCAGTGACATCATTTATTTGTTTTTTGTTTGTTTGTTTTTTTCCCCCCCAAAAAACAGTTGAGATGAGTTTCTCTGTGTAGCCATGGCTGTCCTAGAACTTGCTCTGTATACCGGGATGGCCCCCAATCTGGATCTCATAAAGATCTGCCTGCCTCTGCTTCCTGAGTGCTGTGATTAAAGGCGTGTGCTACCACCGCCTGGTATTTATTAGTATCTTTAATTTTGGTCTTTGTTCATTTATAGAGGTTTGCCAAAATACTCACTTCATGGTTTCTCCTGAATTTTTTGTTCTCTCCTCTGTAACTTTTCTGTTATCCATAGCAGTATGGTTTCTTACAATAGGCATTAAATTATTTAATTGCTCTGGGAGGCAGTTTTCTCTATGATGGTAGGATACAACTGAACTGGATTTGGCACTGGGGTCTGCGAGAGGCCGCTCCAGGAGTTTTCCTATGGCAAAGGATTACATTGAATACCCCTCACAGACATACATTCATCAGTCCAGTGCCTGCCTTTGCCACACTTTCCTCATAATCCCAAAGAATGGATTATTCTTAGAAAAAACATTGTTTCTAGAAATACCCTGTTTATAATCCCTTTCAAAGTGACCTTGTTTGCTACAATTATAATAATTGATATTTTGAATTTTCCTCCAACCTCTGGAAATCTCCTATCCATGAATCATGGGCATGAGATTCAATATTAATTCTTTTTCAAATTCTTTCCTCCATAAGTGTTTACTTTAATGGCGGCCTAATTACCCTTTTGCATAGAGAACTGGCATTCTCAAAAGCCAGAGATTCTATTATTGTTTGTCTACCTTTTGAATTTGGTATCATTCTGTTTACTTATGATGTCAGTTTTTGTAAGAAATCTGCAAAGGTTTCTTTTGGGCCATGTATGACTTTAGCAAATAATTCAGTCTTCTTTTCTTCTTCAATTTTGTCCCAAGCATTCAAAGCTGCTGCATGACATAAAGCCAGGATGTGATCGTCATATAGAGATTGTCTTTCCTTCTCCAAGAATTTGATCTTGGGAGAATTCCATACCTCTAGCTCTACTCCGATCTTACTGGGTTCTCCTGCCTCTTAATACTGGTGACTAGGCATCGGAGTTGGGAGAATTGAAGTGATTCTAGGTGTTGCTATCTGGTCTTGTCTTTGTTGGTGGGCGTTCTGCTCCTTGATTTCTCTTATTTTCTCTAGATCTTAGGAGTGCATGGTGTCTATGGGTAGCCAGGTAAACAGTGCTTCTTAAGGTCTGGGGTAGTAGTGAGGAACAGAGATGGACTAGGAGAAAAGACTGTGAGGGGATTCAGGAAAGAGCTAAGGGATCTTGTCCACAACAAGAAGGAAGGCTCCTAGGGATTTGGAGATGTGAGAGGAGGGTCCCCTCCAAGAAGGCAGCAGGAATTCAAAGTTACTAGAAAGGGAAGGCTAGGGGGATTCTGAGTCTGTACAAAGAATTGGAGTATCTAACATAGATTTTAGGTAGGTGAAAAGGCACCTGCCAGCAGGTAGTAACTGGGCTGAGAATAAGAAACGACGGATTTTCATGGAAGACAAGGAGGATTGTGTAAATACCTTCCTGAGTCCCTTCCAGGTGTGGCCCCTGGGGATCCCACGTAGATATTGTTTCTAGGTATCTGGCGCTGACACAGAGGAATGAGGATAGGCTAAATGTGAGGGCTGCGAGGGTTCACAGGAAGGATGAAAGCTGAGTCTGTACTACAGGTTCAGCTTAGTTCCCGGTGAGTGGAGGAGGTAGGGTGGGAGGAGAGGTACCTGCAGGCTGGCAGCTACAGGGCTGAAAGTCAGACTGGAGAGATCTTAATAGAGCACAGAAAGAGACTGAAAATCACCTATGTGAGTTCAGGTCCAGCATGACCACTAGAAGTCCCAGTTAGAATGTGTTTCTTTCTAGACATTGGTGGCTGACTCAGAAGAATGGGGATGGGCTAGAAGAAA